CAAGCAACATGGTTATAGTCATAAGTGGGGAGAGATAGATACTAGAAAGGAAGAGAAGAATAATAGTAATACAGTGTTAGTAAATTATTTGACAGTATTGTATCTTGGAACAGAGAAACGACCAGAGTAATATTTCACTAAATTAGGAAAATATGTAACCAAAAGTATAATTTTAATACACTTATGAAGGAATACTTATTTAAATGATTTAAATGGCTGTCAATCTCGCAAATGCAACTCTGGGCAGCTAACAATAGGTTAAAAGCCAAGAGTAACAGCAGCCCAAAATGATTAAAAGTAACTGTAATAAAAATCAAATGCAATATGACTAAGGTTAAAAATAATTCCTCCCTGTTACAAATCAAATAGCAGGCAAGCAAAGCACAGCCAAACCAACTAGCTTCGCCTAACCATCTGGCCCCAATGCTTCAGGGAGAAGCCAAGACTTTGAAACCTTATGGTCATGGCCATCCAGCTCTCATGGAACTCAGCAAGGTCCATGGCAGAGAAGACACATCTCTTACACCCCTCATTCATAGAAGAAACTGGAATATGTTCACCCTCTTAGATGTGGTAGGTGAAAATAAACGGAGACAAACAATCCAGCATATAACCTGGCCTTGTCAAATCTAGGTTTTATAGTTCCTGTCTGCTTTAAATGGACATTAGGTCTCCTTCTTTTGTAATATGTATTACTTCACTAAAGATCTGGATGTTTTTTCTTTACAAGTTTGTATAGTCATCCTCTACAATTTTGTTTAGTCATTGTCTTGAATACTTAAAGCAGCTGTCCCAACCTTTCTGCTTCCACGGACCAGGAGCAGTGGCAGCAAAGGGGAAGGGGATGATTTCACATTGCACACCCACTACTTGCATAAATAAAGCTTCATGCGTTCACCCGCCGCTTGGGCGGCCCAGTTCTCAATGGGCCACAGTACCAGTCCATGGACCAGGGTTTGGGTACCCCTGCCTTAAAGAACCTACTAGTACCCTAGTGGACATTGGGTGGCAGAACCCTGAGCTCACAGTTCCAAAGACTTTCTCCAGTTTATCAGAACTAACAGATTTATTGACCTACACAGAGTCCAACTCCAATTAAATCCAAGGGACTTTATACTCACAATACCCTGCAATACCCTCCTTAGCAGGAGTGACCAGATCCATTTATACATGGCTGCCAACTACCCTATTTCCCTGAAAATAAGATCTCCCAGATAATAGTTCATGCACTAAAATAAGCCCTCCCCTGAAAATAAGCCATCCCCGAAAATATTGCAACACAGCAGCAGCCATGAGGTGACCACACTCACCTCTTCCTGCACCTCAAAAATAATAAGACCTCCCCCAAAATAAGGCCAAGCACTTATTTNTTTTAGCCTGTTTTTATGTAAGCCGCCCGGAGTCCTTCGGGATTGGGCGGCATACAAATCTATTAAAATTGGAAATTGGAAATTGGATCATTTAAAAATGTCAGTGTTCAGACAGCACACATAGCAGAAACAAATAAACTGCATAACTATGTCAATCAAGTTAATGGCTGCAATCCAGAGAGTAGCATTTCAGATATCCAATGGCATTTTCCCAAATAAAGAAAACTTCTTTTTTTCTTTTAATATAAATTTATATTAAATATATGTGAATAATCCCTATCACTTAAAACCAAAGCTGAATGATAATAGTAAAGTGACTATTAAACAGAAGAAAGTACATAAAATAAGCAATGGAATTATATATATATCTGTGACCAGAGAAATTCAATACTGATCAAACCCATATAATATTCACGATATTCTTGGTGACTGATATAGCTACAAAATGAATACATCTAATTCATACTAGCACTGATACCAACAACTATGCTATGATTGTGAGCTGCCTGCAAGCTGCTTGCAAGGATCCCATGATACAAGTTTCAGTTGATCATAAAGCTCCTATCTTTGATAGAATACGCTTAGATATGAGAGTATAGCTCAGATTTTCAACTTTGGGTTCCAGATATGTGACGGCCTAGCTGACAAATTTAAAAAGAAATAATTTTATGAAACACAAGATGAAGACAAGAACTGCACCAATTCAGTTCTGTTTTGGAAATGATGGAAGACTTCAACAGCTGAAATAAAGTATGGGTGAGAACGGATGCCGCTATTCACTAATCATTTTTCTCTTTCTACGGGGCCCCATACTGGAGACTCGTGAACTAAAACTATGCATCTGGAAACCAGAAGAATCCTATTTACTGCCTAGAGAAAATATACCATCACATATATGGTTTATAACTATAATGTGGAGAATTTGCCTAGTGGTGTCCTGCTAAAAAGTCTTGCTTCCAAAACATCAGTAAAATTGCATAATTAACCCAAAGGGTTTTTTTTTCCTCCCAGCACATTCTCTAACCATATCTGATTTGGCTTGCAAAAAAAAAAAAAAGATGATCCAAACCCCCAAAGGTTCAAAGGCTGGTAAAACTGAAATTAAGCAAGCCCAGATCTGTCAAGCCACTCATCAGAACTACATCATTACTGTTACCTTATACAAGTGCAGACTAGGACCAAAAAAGAGCTAATCGCACTAATAAATTGCTTTTAATTAAAGGAGCAGAGGATTTCCTTAGGGAAATTTCCCTCTAAGAACAAAAGAAAAGTGGTGGTAACTAGATGAGCCAAAGACAGTGAGCATAAAAATACAAAATACTTTTTTTTTAAAGTCTGTATTCTTTTTCTAAACATGTACTCATAACAATTAAGATGCTTATGGGCAGCATCAGTGAATTAGAACCAAAGATTCTTTGAATAGCCAATCAGAACTATGCTACAGATAGCTTAATGGATGCCATCTATGACATACATAAAAGGAGATTCCTTCTTCCATCTTGCATTTGCATTATTACTCTGCATTCACAAATTGAAAATGTAGCAATAATAGCTCCTTGAAAACGGAAGCTTCATGCACTCTTCTTCACAATGTTTAGGCACAGACAAGGAATAAACAAAATGTGCATATGCAATAGTATAATAAATTAATGGATCTTACCATGCATTGATCAAGCTCTCTTTGAAGACATTCAGGTTCTGTTTTCTTGATTTGGTCTTTCATAAGGAAATCTTTCACAGAATCCAGCCACCTCTGAACTACTTCTGAATCCGCCTGAATATAGGAAAGTCAATTTTCTGTAATGTGATGTATTACTCAAATGTCAAATACTTAATTGTCTGTAATTAGTTGCCAGTTAAATTTTAAAAATGCAAATATCTGCTCATAACATTTTATTAGGTTCATGTAAATATTTGTTAACCAAAAACCTAACTACGGAAATATCTTTTTAGATGACAGTCAACACAGAGTATTAACTATAGTAAACAAGGAAGAAAACAATTTCCAAGTTGCCTCAATAGTAGATTTACAACCCTTTCGAATAGAATAGAATTCTTTATTGGCCAAGTGTGATTGGACACACATTGTCTTTGACAATGCTCTCAGTGTACATAAGAATAAAATACATTCATCAAGAATAAAAAGATACAACACTTAGTGATAGTCAAGGTTACTAATAAGCTATCAAATCGTACTAGGAAACAAATGAAACAATATAAATTTTAAAGATACAAGCAACATGGTTATAGTCATAAGTGGGGAGAGATAGATACTAGGAAGGAAGAGAAGAGTAATAGAAATTCAGTCTTAGTAAATTATTTGACAGTGTTGTGGGGATTAGTTGTTTAGCAGAGTGATG